TGAATGCACAAGGTCTGTTCGAAAGACAAAAGTCTATACCTTAGGAAAAATGCAGGAGCAAGAGGAGACTGGGCTGAGAATCAAGGAGGCAGTGTTTTAGGAGCAAGAATGACATGAGAAAAATAGAGCAATTCTTTAAGGACCTTGCAAGATTTTATTCTCTTCTTTTACATACAGCCTTTTCTCCTTTTTTTTTTTAAGGCAAGAGGTACATCTCTTTACATATAGCTACACAGTCCTTATTCCATGGCCCTTTCTGTGAATCAAGAAAGGGGCAGGGAAACGGATGAGGTACCTTAAGATGCAACACCACATTCCACAGGTCCAGCAAGATGTCCCTGAATCTTTCCAGACTAAAGAATACAGTTTGAAAGCAGCAGAACAGGGGTTTTCTACCTGTGGTGCCTGGGTTCCTGAGTGAGGTCGTACATGACCTTTGATAGCTGATAATGTAGATCGGGTAGATTGTCATATGGCATATATGAACTATGTAAAATGTCTGAAAGCTGTGCATCTCCTTAAGAAATTCTTTAGGGATTCACAGTTTAAAAAAGGGTAGAAAATTAATCCATAAGGAGTTCCTTACAAAATTTGTAGGGGTGTGACCAAGGAAAAGGGAGCTGGTCTAGCAGCTCGCTAGGACCTAAGACTAAAATGTAAGTGATTTTAACTCAGTTGTCTGCTCTACCAGTCACAGGTTTCCTCTGTAATTTTAGTAAAACACTGGACTCTTCCCTCTGCATTGATATAGATTTACTGGTAGCATCTAATCAAACTCTCCAACATCTCCATGAAAGAGGCAAGGATTAGCAATCCTGCTCCAGAAATAAGGAAAGCACAAAGCTATGAAATTTATTGCCTAAAGCCGTATGAGAAATTTGCATCAGAGCTGGGCAGAGGACTCATTTGGTTATGTTGTTGGTTTTCCTTTCTTTGACAAACAATCATTGTTTCATGCCAATGGATTTTTAAAAATCAGAAGTGAAAGGCAATGAGATCATGAATGAGATCATGATTTAAATAATCTTTAAGTGTAAGGGAAACAAGAATAGTTGCAAGGAAACTTCCACCCCTAAGGAAGGCTCAGCTCATCTGAGCACGCCTGGCATAGTTCTTCCTCATCCCAGTTTTGTCGTGGTTTATTACGTTCTGTGAGATTCCTTTCCTTGTTTTAGAGTGGTGCGTGCATTGAGCTTGAGACCACCGCTCATAGACCAGACTGCTTCGACACCATGGGCTGCATTCAGGGGGATGTCCCGGAGCACCTGGTTGGGTGAAGGAGGTTATGCCATTTTGTGTGAGTAGATTTAGTGGGAAACAAATCTATTCTGAATTCTTGCTGTTGTGGACTGAAATCAGATTCTTACATAATGTGTTTTCAGAGCTGTGCCTCCAGAGTCATAGGCAGAGCAGTGCAGGCTGCATACCTCTTCTCTCCTCATCAGAGATGTGACCCTGCAGAAGTGGCATCTTACTCTTGCCCACATTGGCTTCCTGTGTGCCTTGAAGGTTGTGTTTGCTTTGTCTACTGAAAAAAACACATTTTTACCACTGACAGTACTCCAGAACCAATAAAGCTGAGGTGAAGGGAGTTGTTTTCTCTTCTGCTTCATGCACCATTGCCAGTAGAGTGACCAGCTAAGGCCTCTGTGAGCTGCTGGCCTCTCTCCCTATCCCAGGAAGGGCTGGCATCACACACAGAGCCTAGATCAGGCACTTTACCTCTAGGTTTCATTTACTGCTGTTTTCAGCAAACCCTGAAATAAACCAACCTGGTGGGAATCCAAATCTCTTTTCCCTCTGACCCAGAGGCTTCTGGCAAAGCTGCTACTGGCAGCTCTTCCCCAGTCCTGCTATCAGCCATTCCACCAAGAAATTCTTGGGCCACAAGTGACTTCTGCCACTTCTGCATCCCTCGAGCTGTCAGGGCCTTGCCAGGAGCCCAGTGCACCCGAGGCAGGGACACCCGCGCTTGTGGAATTACCGAGCCCCAGCCTACTCTGCTCAGAAGAAATCTCTGTACCTTAAAGCGGCAGTCCAGCTGAACCTGTCTCGTTCCAGAAAACCTTTCCTCCTACCGGTAACTCAGTTCAGCAGAGAAAGGTCTTTGAGTGCTTGCTTAGGATCACAGTTTTGAAGGCAGAATCTTCAACACACACCTGGTGTGAAATGGACAGGACATAAGCCTTACAGGCTTTATTCTTAGGCTTAGAGACTGGTAGTTAAAAGAATTGCTTTCGAATACCAGCTGAGTACAACTGAATTTATTGTTAAAGAAGAAATACAAGACATTAGGTATAACTTCTGAATTTTTGCTTTCTGTTCAAAACACTTATTTTAACCTAGTATTGTTATTTGTGCCTTTGTGTTTAAACAAGGTGGTTTAAAAGCAAATTAAAAAATATTTGCAGTGACTTACAGGTGACGTTGGCTGGAGGTAGAAAGGTAGTGAGGAGAGAGAAAGAAAGGGACGGAGAGGTACCCCCATAAGAACAGTGACACCTTACTAGAATTCCTCAGCCATCCTCTCAGCTGCTTTCTGCTGGAACCAGTCACATCGACCCTTCCCAGAAGCCACGGATCAGCTGATGTGAGTGCGGGCAGATGCTCCTGTGTGCCAAGAAGCAACTTGTCCTGCAGGGTGGGAAAAAAATGGGGTGTGGGAACAAAGGAGGGGTGAGCAGACCCTCTCCAGCTCAGCTCAGAGACAGAGGAGCAGCTTCGGCAGGCTGAATCCCAGGAGGCAGGAGTGGAACCATGGGGCACGAACAGGCCCAGACCTCAGTGAGAACCTGCACCAGAAGCAGCTCGTGTCTGAGCTCGTTTGCTGGGTCTGTGCAGACCTTAGCACCTCCGTGTCCCACTCATACTCAGTTGAGCATCAAAGTCGTATCCAGTGAAGTCCTAAATTCAGCAGGGTGTCTGACTTCAGTTCCTGATGAAGATTCCACTCTTGAATTTTGGGGAATTTTGTTTTGAAAGATAAGAGATGTGGCTTCTCACTTATTTTTGAGGACAACTTGTATGCCATGTTTCAGCAATGAAGGCTTATCAGGTTCCAGATGAAGGCGGAGACCTAAACTTCCAGGTGAAAAAAATATCCTGTAAAGCTCCAGCAGATCCTTGATGTTGTAGTAGCAAGTGTCACTGCAAGGCTTCTTTTTCAGAGTAGAGCTAGGGTCAGTTTTCCATCTTTTTCATGTTGTTTATTTCAGTTGTGTATCATTTATAAAATGCCCTGCATGCTCAGGAATGAAGCAAAATAGAAGTTGTTTTAAATTTAACTTAGGGAGTGAAAATAGTTGAAAAAATACAGTTAATTTTTAGGAAAAAAACACTCAACCTGGGCAATACGACCTATATATTACTTTCATAATGAACCTAAATTTGCAGGTTAACATTTAAGCAAATGCATAACTAACATAGGTGACACGGCTAAGCTTCGGTCCCGCCAGACCTCGGCTCCTAAGTGCCTGCAGCCTGCAGGAGCGGGGTTCAAGCCCTGCGGGACGTTTTGCTCACGCCGTCACGGACCGGTCACCCGTGGTCCCTGGGAGCCGGCAGTGCTGCGGTGGGAGCAGGATCCGGCACCAGACTGCTAAATTGCTGTATGTGTGTGCTACCGAGGCGGACCGTCCGTCCCTTCCGTGCGGATCGCCAACGCAGCTGAAGTCGCGTTTCTGCTGGAGAAGTCCTAGAGAGCTCCCCAGCACACCGCCGAGGGAGCGCTCCGGCAC